AGTGAGAGATCATAGTGGCTTGCTGTGTGTGTATGTGTGTGTTTGTGTGAGAGAGAGATCACTGTCTTTTAGTATGTGTGTGTGTGTGTGATGATGATGTGGCCTACAGTGTCTGTATGTGTGTGTATGTGTAAGTAACAAAATCATTTTACCAATCACTGTTACCACTTAAATTTTTTCATTAACCTCTCTTTATGCACACTATAGCATGACTATTTAGCACTCCTTTATATTTAAAAAAAATTGCGATCCACATTTACAAAATAAGCATTTTTTCACACAGAAATTTCTGCATATGGACCTGGCAAGGCTGTCGGAGCTGCGGCTTGCACTCCTTATCCCTGTGCTAGTTGTTGGAGGTATAACTGAGGGGGAGAAAAAAGGAAAAGCATGTCCAATAAAGGGAAGGGTTTCTGAATGGGGGGAAATGGCAAATGCAGGAAGAAAGCACCTTTGCACAGATGGTTAATAAAACAACATTCTAAGTTCTGTGAAAAACCAGATGTGGCAAGGGCTAAGGGCAAGAATTAAAGAGATATTATGAGCTTAGAAACATAAACCCTTACCATTTACCTTGAATCTCTGGATTTGTGGCCATGTACAGCAGAGCCCAGCGGATGGTTGAAGATGTTGTTTCAGTTCCAGCAAAAAAAAGATCCAATGTGGAAAATAAGAGATTTTCTTCATGGAAAGTAGGGTCAGCATCCGCCTTAGAACAAAGACATAAAGTTGGAAATATGACAGCAATATTCATTAGTATTATACAAAGCCATGGAAACATCATTCCAGGCTCAGGTATGCAAACCATTGGGTTCCCTGCAGGTCCACTGCCTTCAGAGAGATTTGAGTAAACACAGCCCCTCAAAGGACAGCACCATCATATATATAGTAGCCCAGTGTCTGAGTCTGTAATGCCGAAATGCTGGCTGTTCCCTCTGGGCATGCCGCAAAGTAGAGCCGCACCCCAGTGGCTCAGCTACCTGTAAGAATTTTTCTGGAGCTGGGAACTTTGCTGAGGGTGTGGGCTGCAGGCTGATGCCAGTTGCTGCCTCATGTAGAGAGAAGAGGTGCTGAGCTTCTCACTCTTCTGGGCCTGCCTCAGATAAGTGGCTGCTTGGGGAGGGGAGAAAAGAGGAAGCCAAGTGCCACAGAGGAAGGGGAAAGGGGGCGGGGCGGTGACGTAACATAGCTGTGACAGCTGTAACACCCTACCCGGCAATGGGTCCATGTGTAACTTATGGCCCCAGAGGTCACACACAGCCCACCAGAACATTTCAACACAGTCTCCGAATGGCTCTTTCATTAGCATTTTGTCATCACATTTGCCTTATTTGAGTTAGTTTACACAAGTGTATCCAGAAGGTCCATGGACGTTCTAGCACCAGACAGCCCCAGGGTCAGGAACCCAGTGCCAGGAGGGCTGGCAGCTGACAGAAGCATGGCTGGAGCTGGCATCTTGGCAGCCAGGAGTGGCGGGAGGTCTGCCTTAGCAACCCCCCTGCACCATTGACCAAGAGCCTGTCCATATAAGCCCTCATGCCCTAGCCCTGATACCCCCAAAGCAAGAGCCTCCTCCCGCACCTCAACATTCTCCTCCTCAGTCCCTCTGAAGCCCACACTTTAGTCCAGGGTTGGACAAGATACATCTCACAGGCAGCTTCCATCCCGCCGAGTCACCAGATCAGGCTCGCAGATCATTCTGCAGGGACTCTCAGTCACACGGCAGCTGCTGTTTTAAGCGGAGGACTGCTCTGTGTTAGGGATGTTACATTGAGATTATTTGGCTATTTGAATAGTCAATGCAATTTGCATCGACTATTCAGTTAGGGTACGTCTACACTACAGCGCTAGTTCGAACTAACTTAGTTCGAATTAGTTAATTCGAACTAAGCTAGTTCGAACTAACGCATCTAGAACTAAAAACTAGTTAAGAGAGAGATGGATCGAGGGACCGGAGGCTCAGGAGAGAAAACCAACGTGGAGGAGAGACCTGAAAATCCCATCTTATGACAGGCTAATTGTCTAGTTAGATAGAAACACTGTGCTTTGGGAATCATTTTTGAGAATGAAAAGTTTGAGCTGAGTTTAGGTCTGAGCACAAGGCCTGCTGGTGTCGCTGAAAGAGTCCCAGGCACTTTAACTGGCTTTTTGGTCTGGTCCCTAGAACAAGGCAAACCCTTACATTTTTAGGCCCTAATTCAGAAAAGCATGTGAGTAGGCCTACTGACTTCAGTGAGCCTACTCTTCCCTGCTTAAGGCAAAGCATGGGCTTAAAGGCTCTGCAGAATCAGCCCCTGAGGTTTCGAACTGTTCACTAATGGAGGGTCAGATGCTCATACAACTCAGCTGGAGATCTCTGTCACTGTAGTTCTACTTCTAATTTTTAAAATAAAGAAGTGGATTGTTCCAGTTTGCTTTGTTCTCTGGTCTCTTACCTTTGCCATTTCCTTCAGATAAGAGTCAATGAAGTCTCTGGTTTCTGAGGGATTCCAGTCCTCTTTGTGCTTTGCAATAATTTCCCGCACAAAACACTTCAGTTTCTCCCAGTTTTTGAACATGGTGTGATGGGGTCCTGGGATCCACTTCATTAGGGTGGGGAAGGTGTTGTACAGCTTTTAACATACAAGTATTTTCGCCTCGTTTTAGAAAAATTCAACTTATGATTTAATGTACCCCTATGCATTCTTCTGGAGACACCACATTTATTAAACCACCCTAATACATAATTTCATTATGGATGTGCTCAGAGCCCTTGGGGAGAGCAGCAGCCCAGCATACTAGGCACTTCACATCTTCATACCAGACAGTCTCTGACCTGAGCAACCTAGAATCCAGAGACAGAGCAAACAAAGGGTGGAAGAAAGGATGAATTAACATCATTTTACCTAGTGAGAATTGAAGCAGCAAGAGATTAAGGAATTGGGCCACGATTGCACAGGCATCTGTTACAGAGCCAGAAAGTGCGAACACTGTTTTAACCACCAGCCCATTCTTTCTTGCTAAAATATTCACTCATTTCTCTCAGCCCTCTGCTGGGCTGGTTATTAGCCACTGCTCCCATTGCTTTGTCACCCCTACCAGATCCTGTGCTGTATTGCCTGAGGCAGTGCGGTAACAGGAACTTCAGAAGGCAGGAGGCCACCTTGTTAATGATTTGTTGATTGACAAGCTTGGAAGGATACAAAAAGGTCATTACCCCAGAAACTGGCCTCACATGTGGACACATGATGTTGATACTATTGATGTTACCACAGTTTTTATCAGAGGTTGGACTTTGGTATTGAAGGGTTGGTAAAACACATGGGAAACTGCTTAGGCCCAGCACCATGAGTAGATGGACATAGGCACTGTGCTTTGCCTCTCAACATGACTGCTGCTGTCTGGCAGGGTTATGTCTCACCCCCACCACTGTGCGGTGCTGAACTGAGAGGCACCAAGAGGAGAAAGGTCCAATCGCATTTGGGTAACAATGTGTCCTTGGAAAGCTGGGTTTGAGGCCTAGGTCTGTGATCCTGCATCATTATGAAACATGGTGCTTTGTCCCTGCAAATGGAGCCACCTGAAGGAGCTGCTGGCTGGGTGAGTCCCTGACTTTGATGGCCTCCAGGATCATCTCCCACCTGGCCTGTTGCACAAAGACACCCTGCCACCCCCACGGCCGCAAGAGTATCCAGCAAATCTACGACGCCGAAAAGTCTTTGAGATATCTCTCCCCTGAGCAGAGTTCAAGGCACTGGGAGACAGCCAGGAAGGGTGTTGCTTGGGAACAGTGAGGGTTTGTGACCCTTTTACCTTCCTTGCTCCTAGACACACCTCCCTGATGCCCACTGAAACAGTCCATTGGATCTTCATCCTCATTAGACATCGCACTGTGTCAGGACTACTCAACACACAGCCTTTGGGCCAAATGAAGACCGTGGCCCATTTGTTTGTGGCCGACGGTGCGGTTTGAATTTACAGTGCAGCTTGGGTAGTTGTGTGTTTTAGTAGTTATGTTCCTGAATTGTTGTGAAGCCAAAACGAAAAAGTAGCCAATATAATGGTTTTCTGTTGAAATGAGTTTTAATAGTTAAATTCCTGGACTGTCATTGCTCATTTAAAGTGCTGTCGTATGTGTGAAAATCGGGTAAAAATTGCATTTTATTAATATCAGCAGAACTGACTTAAATGGTGCCTGTGTGTTGTGTAGTCTTGGCTTTATTCATGCCTGTCAGTGTGAAATAAGCTATTTGCATACATATTTCCATATAGATGAAACCACACTTAAGTTGTGGCCCTCGACATGTGCTGTGCGTATCATTGTGGCCCTCTGGGCTTCCAAAGTTGAGTAGCCCTGCACTATGTGCATGTGGGGAGGTAGCACTGGCACAGAAAATTGAGGCTAGAGGATCTGGCAGGATTACCTTATGATGATGTGGCCTACAGTGTCTGTATGTGTGTGTATGTGTAAGTAACAAAATCATTTTACCAATCACTGTTACCACTTAAATTTTTTCATTAACCTCTCTTTATGCACACTATAGCATGACTATTTAGCACTCGGAGAGATTTGTTGGGAAATAGGACAGCAAAGATGCCCTAGCCAGGCTAATGTCAGTGTGAATCTGGGATCAACATGACTTTGTCACACTCAGTGCTACCACTGAAACTACTGGGAGCGTGGCCCTTGAGTTCATGTGGTTAAAGGCAAAATCTAATGAGCTCTACCTGGCTCCAAATACTTCCCTCAAGATATGAAATCTCATCAATCAACCGTAGTAACTTCTGGAACTGACTGTCATGATATTCAAACCGGTTCCCGAATGTGATGGAACAGATAATGTTGGAAACAGCATTGTTAATTTTAAAATGAGGATCAAAAGGTTGCCCTGGAAGAGAAAAGGGAGAAATTGGGGTTCTTCTGGCTTTTGTAGAAAAGGGGAAGAAAGTTGTTGACAGGCATAAACTATCTGATATGTATGAAATCCATTCTCAACATGTGCATCTATCACACTCCCCTGCACATGCTCAGATACATCCCTTCAGCAACGGTTGCTGCATTGTCACCTGAGTATTGAAAAGCTATTAAACACGTAGATGGGATGAGCTGCTGTTTGATGCATGCAGCAGAACTGCCGGTTTAAGTCCGATTTTGCTCTACATAGAGACATTTGTATATTTCCACATAGGTCTCTACCTTTGTTATAGTTTGGGACGTTCAACATGTATGTGATTATGAACCACTTTCTCTTCCTAGTCATTAATCTTGGCAGTGAACACTATTGTGGGATGTTTTTGTTAATCTGCGTGGCAACCCGGAGGCTGAAAAGACAACTCAGCATTTAGTGCCATTTCTGACATATAAAGCATGAATCCCAAAAACCTCCAAACTTTTGGATCTGTATCCAGATATGGTGCATGTATGCCGAATGGGCTAAACCAAATCCCGCATCTGAGCTGAGCGTTAGGAAATATCTGGATTCAAACATCATATTTCAGGAACATCTCTATTATTTTACATTCATAAATACAAGTTTTGATAGAACACTTAGGGCACATCTACACAGCAGCTTTATTTTGGAATAACTAATGTTATTCTGAAATAACATAGTCCACATCTACACTACAAGCAGTTATTTTGACATTATGTCAAAATAATGTTGGGCTGGAGAACTTCTTACTCTGACTCTTGTAACCCTCATTTTATGAGAAGTAAGAAAAGTTGGAGGAAGAGTGCTCCTCCTCATACTTTCTGCTGCATAGACAGAACCAAAAGCTGAAACAAACTATTTCAATGTAGGCTACGCAATTGAAATAGCTGAAGTTGCATAGCTTAATTTAGATTTAGCCCTCCTGTGTAGATGTGCCCTTAAAGTGTCATTCTCTCTCATCCTCACCTTTTTCTTCCTCTATTGTCTCTGTGAAGTATCTGATCTCCTCCTGTATGCGTTCTTCTAAGCTCCTCTTCCCCAGGCCAAAGTTTCTTAGAGTTGATAAAGTAAATCTTCTTTGATGTTTCCAGCTATGACCATTGGACATTATTAATCCTGGGATGAAAAATGACAACTGGTGTATTGTAATGGTCAGTACTTTAATACTCTCCTTTTTCAAGTTTAAGCGAGGCCTGCTTATTTTTCCAGAGGATATTATCTTCTGTTCTGTTCTGTTCTCTTCTGTTCTGTTCATCATGCTCGTCACTGGAATATCTGAGAGCCTGGGCTCTAGGAATAGTGGGGTCATGTCTGACATGCAGAAGCTACATTTCTACAAAAAGGTGTATAGAGCTGAGGTTGAATAAAGTAGGCTGCAATGCCGACTGCGAATGATTCTGGAAATGCAATTTTGAGGGATTTCAGAAGCCTAAACCCTCCTATACTTACTCTTGCTGAAGGCAAACTTGCGAAGGAACATGAAGGGTGGAAATCCATTTTAGATGCCACCACAACTACGTGGTAGCCATGTGAATTTCTTGCTGCTGCTGCCAGGGCTATCACAGTTGGGATGTCAATATGAGAAGTCAAAAAGACATGAGAGCATGTGTAAGTATTTGCAAAGTTGAGTCAAGTTATTAAGGCCCAGATTCTCAAAGGTATTTAGGTGCCTAACTTCCATTGATTTCACTAATAGGCATGCGCTGGGAGTGGGTGTATCAACCCTGCACTGGTATAGCAGGAGCTAAACTTTCTCTCTTGGCTCAGGAGGCCACACCCTCTCAGCTCCACTGGGCATGCTCAAGCTGCACTCAGAATATAAAAGGCAGCAGAACAGCCAAATCTGAGCTGACCACTGGAGAGAAAGGAGGTGTCCTGCTGACTCCTGTGGGAGGACTGCCTTCAGTACAGGTTGTGGAGCCTAGACAGCTGGAGATTGACCCGCTATACACAGGCTTGAGATACCACAGAGAAGGGAGAGACTGTGGAGACCTGGAAATGGTGAACTACAAAGAGTCCAGTAGGAAATAACCAGGAAACTTGGTGAAAAAGCAGTTAAAGAACTGGAGACAATTTCAGTAAGATTCAATAGGAATCCTGCCTTGGGTTTAGAACCTGGTGCAGAGGGAAGGTATGCCCCCAGCCCTGTCACTCTGAAACTGGTGGCCCAGCTTGCTAGCACTGTTGACTCTGACCTCTATGCTGCACTCTCCTGATGGTGGGGGTCCATATAATTGACTCCGAATGCTAGGCTGTGTTGCCCTGATGGCAGAGATCATATTACTGACAGGCGACAGGGCCATGCAGCTCTGAGATTGGGGGCATCCCCAGAGATGCAACCACAAGGCTATAACACAGCCCAGCCACAACCCCCAGAGGGTGACAGGGGTATCAAACCCACGACAGCTAAACACCTTTGAGAATCTGGGCCTAAGATATTACTGTAGTGCAGACTTCAGTTCATATGCATAAAGTGTAACCCATTTGCAGGATCAGGGCCTTCATTATTAAAAATGGTACTTGAGACATGCTGGAAGAAAAACTCACCAAATGTCTTGAAGATTTCATGGATAAGAGGAATATGTGGGCGATCAAGAAAGTCATCACCCTGATGGACAAGCACTTCCTTCACCAGTTGGAATCCATTTACAATCACATATTTCAGGTTACCAAACTGCACGCTGAAAATGTTGCCGTATTTTTCAGCAAGCTGGAAAATTAGAGCATGTTCATGAATTCATATTTAATTTCTTTGATAACAAGAACTAGAGCCCAGGTGATGACTTCTTACTTTTGTTATTGTACTGGTACTCTTACTAATTTGTATTACAATAGCACTGAAGGGCCTGGCTGTTCAAGCATGATTCAAAAAGCCAGTGCCTGAGAGCTCACAACAGGATAAAACAGGGGAATGAAGCATTTAAATGGGGAGAGGAATGAGGTTACAGTAAAACAAGCATATCTACGGACAATGTGACTTTTCCTGTGGGATGTCCAAATAAAACAGGCCTACTGGTGAATAAAATAATAATAAATAAATACATAATAATAATGTGTCATCTGAAGAAGTGACAAAAGCTCATGATACCATATACATGTTTTGTCTTTAAGGTGCTACTAGACTATTCATTGTTTTTCAAGGCTTTTTTGGGTAAATAATAGCTATTGACAACTGGCCTACTCTGTGGTAAGCAGAACAGACACTTTCCCAGCTGGTCGCATTATAGACTGCAGATACTTTGTTCCTATGTAGTGAAAAAACTCAAACATACCGGTTTAAACAAAACACCCTCCAGTTTCATCAGAAGCCAACACCCACCTCATAATGGACTATGCATCTCCCTGGGGCACTCAAAGGGTGTGGCGGAAAGCTGCACAAAACAAATTACTGACTTCCATCGAGGCCTATTTGAAGGGAACTCATTCTAGTCCTTGAACGGAGATGACACTCAAAAATAATGTTCTAAACTTTTTTAGGTTTTAAAATTTACTTTGTAACTCTGATTACCTCCCTCTTAATCACATCTTTCCTCATTTGCCAGGGAGGTTCCACCTCTGGCCCAACTCCCCATGTGCCTTACAAGTTTTTACTAACTCTTCATTGTTAGGAAACTCATTCAAAGCCCTGTAAAACAGATATCAGACAAGATCACAAAGAAAAAACAGTTTTTGCCATTTTAACCAGAAAGGACACTCTCTCAATGACTTAACCACCTGCATTCTGCTACAAAGACCTTTTACATCTGCACTTGAAAGGGAATCCTCTGAACTGTCATTCATGTTAAAATTCGACACTCTCCGGGAAGGAATGAACAAACACTCAAACTATCTTACCCATTACCAAGATAGCTTCCCCAATTATCACCTCTAATACCATTAACTCACAAACATCCCACTCTCCCTCAAATAGTGGAAGAAAGTAGTCACAACCATATATACCAAAGGATACAATTAAAAAAAATGAACAAATATGATTTTTTTTAAATTTTTTTTTTAATTGTATCCTTTGGTATATATGGTTGTGACTATTTTCTTCCACTATTTGATCTGAGGAAGTGGGTCTGGCCCACGAAAGCTCATCATCTAATAAACCATCTTGTTAGTCTTTAAAGTGCTACATTGTCCTGCATTTTGCTTCAGCTACCCCAGACTAACACAGCTACATTTCTATCCCTGTAAGTAAATTCCTACAAGCTGTTTTGCATTGTCACTGAAGACTCCTTGTCATTCTTGCAAGCTCCTGCCCCATCTAGTTCCTTGTGAGCTCCTCCAATCCTAATGAGCACCAACCTTATACCGTACACGAATCCCTTCCCAATTCTCAGTCTTTCTATACTTGGTAACTTTTTATGAGCCTCTTTTCACATGGCAAATGTTTACGGGCCTGCTCATCAAACTGCCCAACCTCCTTCACACAGTGCAAGCCTCCTGTATAGTCACAACTCCCCACTGGCTGGCTCCTAACCATGGGGCACTGTGCACTCCCTCAGACACTGCCACTCACATGTAATCAGGCCTTAATTCATAAGCTCATCAAGTCTAATTTAAACTGTGCCCCCCGCAGAAAGCAGACATATGTCCGGAAGGTCCTACCTTCTGAGGATTTCCATGTGGAAAGTAGGGATGTAAGTGATTAGTTGTCTAGTCAACTATTGGAAAAGCCTGGGCTTATTGGTTAGTCAAGTCAAGTACTCGAATTGCTCCCACCCTTGCATCAGGCAGTAAGTGGGGGCGCAGGACTGGAACTGGTGCTGGGGGAATGGGCTTTAAAGCTGGTTCCCCCCAGCACCATGTCTGCTGTACTGCCTCCTCTGCCCCTGCTCTGTCTATCAGAGGCAGAAGCGCAGGGGACAGGGGAGAGGAAGAGAGAAAGGGAGGCTGCTGCAAAGCAAGCTCTGCCCATGATGATCTCAGGCTTGACATGTGCAGAGGATGGTCGGGCAGCAGCTCCTCTTCCCGCTGGGATCCCCTGCAGACAGGGGCTGGTGCCATGAAGCAGCCCCTATCCTGAGAGTCTGTGGGAAGAGGCTGGCAGCAGTCACTGTCTGTTGGGAATCCCAACTCCCCGCTGGGACCCTCAGCAGACCGAGACTGCTGGATCCAGCATGAGCCAGGGCTGAGCAAGCCCGGCTCAGTCCCGGCTCACACTAGTACTGGGAGCTCCCCCTACCGCTGCTCTGCAGTTTGTGTAGTAGGAGTCCGCCTGGCGATTACTACAAATCAATTGCAGAGTGGCTGCATGGGAGTAGCTCCCAGACCTGTTGGAAGCCAGGACTAATCACCTTCCCCTGTCAATTAATCATCTACTCGATAAAATTCTATCGACTATGTGATTAGTGAAAAACCCACTTCTTAACACCCCCCGTGAATAGGAATCCACAACTGGGACCCTCACCTTCTGCACACGACAGAGGGAAAAGGAGCATGACCAGAGGTGTCCCCGTGCTCTGGTGATCCTGGATAGCAGGTGTCTGGAACTGCACATGGGACAGCTAGGAGTTGCTACGGGAGCTCTGAGAGTCAGGAATTGTTTTGCATAACAATGCAGATTAAGCTTGGTACAGCGAGAACAAGTCAAAAACACACAGCATAAGCAGCCTTGTACTGGTACTTTTGCAAAAATTATGGAGTACAAACTGTTACTTGTGCATATAGTTATAGCAATATCCTGCATGGCAGAATGTACTCTAAATATGAGCATAGTAGGTGGCTTATACAGCATGTAATTACCATAATCGATTACATAATTACGTAATCGATTAGTAGAGATGATTAGAAAGACCAAGTCGAGTATAAATATAGGTGAAGAACACATAATTGGTGGAAAGGATGGGGTAAGGAGTCCCCACTACCTTACTCACTACAATTAAGAAATGCTGTTCCTACTGGCAAATGCATTATGGATGCCTCTATGCATGGAGAAAGAAAGAGGCCATGACCTTCTGTCTGACAATTGTAAGTTGCCAACGGTGGAGCTGTTTGCGATTTATAGCAATAAGTACATGTATGCTGATATCTCTAAAGTTAAATATCTTGTGCACTGTCCTAGGTGTAGGTGTTATAATATTGTCTGTGCTACCTATCCCATTCATTGGAATGAATTTATGTAACTCTGCATTTCTTTCCTTTCCTTTTCTGTGTACAGGCAGTCCCCGGGTTACATGGATCCGACTTACATCGGATCCCTACTTACAAATGGGGTGAGGCAACCCCGCACTAGCTGCTTCTCCCCAGCAGACCAAGGAGACGCGAAGCTAGCGCCCTCTCCCCCCCAGCAGACCAGGGAGATGCGGAGCGGCTTTTCTCAGCAGACACCTCAGCTTGAGAATAAAGGACTGAGGGAAGTGAGGTGTGGGAGAATAAAACTGAGCTCTAGAGAAATGTTTGGCTAGAGTTTCCCCTACAATATGTACCAGTTCCGACTTACATACAGATTCAACTTAAGAACAAACCTACAGTCCCTATCTTGTACGTAACCCGGGGACTGGCTGTATAATAAAGTTAGAGATCTAGTTTATCTTTAGTGTTTACTGACTCCTCTCGTATCTAATATCCCAGAAACACAGAAGAGGGAAAAGGAGCATGACCAAAGGTGTCCCCGTGCTCTGGTGATCCTGGATAGCAGGTGTCTGAAACTGCACACGGGACAGCTAGTAACTGGTGCAATTCAGAAGAACCCTGAGATCCTGGCAGTGCAGAAAGCTGCTGCCATGAGCTGTGCCATACATTCCTCAGGTGCAGCGGAGGGTCTGACCCACTGTCTCCAGCACTGTTGCAGACAGCGCTCCTTGTGCTCGCTCGTCTCCCTCTGCTTACCTTCTGAATGGCGATATGCGGCTGTTTTGCATCCATATGGAGTACATTGCCCAGGAAGGGCAGGATCAAAGGTCCCGGAGGGAAATTCCTCGGTCGTCTCCTTTTCATGACATCCGGCCAGTGTCTGAAAGGGCACAATCTGCCAGAGCCACAGTAACCCAGGGGCAGCCTGCAGAGACATCTTCCCCAGCCAGGTGTGCAACTGCAGCTGAAAGAGGGAAGTGTGACGGGGCAGAGAGAAACCCGGTTGCAGCGGGCACAGCCCCACCCTCCTGCTGCTGGTGCCAAAGGAGGACAAAGGTTAGAAGCCAGATGAAAACAACTTGAAATAAGTAAACAAGAGCTTCCCATGCCAGAGTCTTAACCCAGAAACTCTGCTAGGCCCCCATATTGTGGTTCCTTAAACTCATCAACAAAGATCTGTCAGATTTTTCTTCCTTAGATCTTGTTTCTACCAAGCTGTTTTTAATAAATCATTTACAGATTCTCTCCTCCCCCATTCTCTGTTACAGGACTGAGCAATAACTTTCGGAGGGGAAAGGGAGAGGAGGTGCCCAAATGTTGGAGAGTGGTCATGGGCTGCATTTTTCTGTCGGGGTCTAGGATGGAGGTTGGGTGCAGAAGGGCACATAGAGTAAGAGACTGGGGTGCAGGAGACAGTGTGAGATCTGAGAGGGACTTTGGGTGAAGAAGGGGTTGTGACCTGGGTTGGGATTGGTGTGTACGGCCAGGGAGGAGGTCTGGATGCGGGTGAGGATTCTGGCCTGGGGAAGAGGTGTAGGAGGCGAGGGAGTTGTGACTTGGGGCAGGGAGGAGCAGAGGGTTTGGATGGTGACCTGGGGCAGGCAGTTGAGATGCAGGAGGATCAGGGGTCCCTGAGGCAGGTTTTGGCTGAGAGGCACTTACCTACGCGTCTCGCAGCCAGCAGCCCTGCAGTGCCATCAAAGCAGGCTGGGCTCCCTGCCTGATGTAGCCCAAGACCACTTGAAACTGCAGGCTACTCCTTCCATGTGACTCCCAGCTCCGGAAAAGGAGAGAGGCTTCTGCTTCCCCCGTCCTCCAGGCCAATCTCTCAACTCCTTTTTGCTGGTTGTTCCCAGCCTATGGGAGCTGACGATTGGGCTATGGGAGCTGACGACCAGTTGCTTCCCCCACCCCTTGCTGCCTCTATCATTAAGAGGCAGCCAGGGGGTGGGAAAGAGAAGGGGAAGCTTCAAAGTGGCAGTGCCACCTGGAGCCCAGGTTCTGCTGCTTTCAAAGGGCACGTGCAGCCTGGGTCCCCGGCTGGCCCCAGGCTGCATACAGTGTTTCAAATTGGCAGCGCTGCGTGGAGGCCAGGGTCAGCTGGGTACTCACCCACTGATTCCAGGCTTCATGCGGCGCTGCCGCTTTGAAATGTCGTGGGGGGCAAGGATCCAGCAAGGGACTGCTTAAGCCCTATGGCTGTTGCTACACTTCATAGGTGGAACAAAAAACAGGACTGTGTAGCACTTGAAAGACTAACAAGATGGTTTATTAGGTGATGATCTTTCGTGGGCCAGACCCACTTCCTCAGATCAAATAGTGGAAGAAAATTGTCACAACCATATATACCAAAGGATACAATTAAAAAAATGAACACATATGAAAAGGACAAATCAAATTCTTGTGTGTGTTGAGCCCCCCGCGGTGAGTGTCGAATTTTAGCATGAATGCCAGTTCAGAGGATTCCCTTTCAAGTGCAGATTTGAAAGTCTTCTGGAGTAGGATGCAGGTGATTAGGTTGTTGAGACAATGTCCTTTCTGGTTGAAATGGCAAGAAACTGTTTTTTCTTTGTGATCCTGTCTGATATCTGTTTTGTGGGCATTGATCCTTTGGCAAAGTGTCTGAGACGTTTATTCAATGTACATAGCGGACGGACACTTTCAGCACATGATTGCATAAATTATATTTCTGGATGGGCAGAAATATGTATTCTTGATCTTATAACTCACTTGGTTGGGTCCAATAATGGTATCAGCAGAGTGAATATGTGGACAAAGCTGGCAACGGGGTTTGTTGCAAGGGAAGGTACCAGGGTTGGTACAGACATTTCCCTCCCCACCCTTCCTCTCCTCCATCCCCCTTTTGTTCTGAAATTTGATTTGTCCTTTTCAGACTAAACAGTCCTGTTTTTTGTTTCAGCTGCACCAGACTAACACGGCTACATTTCTACCACTGGAGGTGGAGGTGCCCTTACTGATAAGCTTGGTGGGACAAAGCGGCATGCAAGATGTATCTTTCCCACCCCTAGACTAGAATGTGGACTTCACAGAGGGACTGAGGATGAGCATCTTGAGGTGCGAAAGGAGGCTCTTGCGTTGGGGGTATCAGGGCTAGGGAATGAGGGCTTACTTGGACCAGCTCTTGGTCAGTGGTGCAGGAGGGTTGCTAAGGCAGACCTCCTGCCACTCCTGGCTGCCAAGCTGCAGGATGCCGATCCCTGCCATGCTTCCATCAGCTGCCAGCCTCCTGACACTGGGTTCCTGACACTGGGGTTGTCTGGTACAGGAACGTCCATGGTCCTTCTGGATACACTTGTGTAAACTAACTCAAATAAGGCAAATGTGATGACAAAATGCTAATGAAAGAGCCATTCGGAGACTGTTTTGAAATGTTCTGGTGGGCTGTATGAGACCTCATTGCTTGGTATGGTGTTACAGCTGTCACTGCTAAGTTGAATTCAAGTCAGCTGATCATCTAGATAGAATGAGGACTGTCCCTATCTCCTTTGCTGCCCTGTGCCACATCTGTCCCTACATCCACTGTGTGTTTGGGGGGGGGGAAGAGAGGGGGTCTGATCTCACAGAGGGGGATCTAGAGGGAGAAGCTGTGAAGAGCAGGCCCAGAGCTGCAGGCAGGCGGGAGTAGGGCAGGGAGGCTTTTCTGAGGAGAGTGGCACGAGCCTTCAGGCTAAAGGAGGAACAGGGGCATCTGTGAATCTGTGTGCTCCTCTTTTCTCCCCTCCCCAAGCAGCCACTTATCTGAGGCAGGCCCAGAAGAGTGACAAGCTCAGCACCTCTTCTCTCTACCTGAGGCAGCAACTGGCATCAGCCTGCAGCCCACACCCTCGGCAAAGTTCCCAGCTCCAGAAAAGTTCTTACAGGCAGCTGAGCCATTCGGGTGCGGCTCCGCTTTGGGGCACAATGCAGTGAATCCCCACTTGCTCCCCCTGGAGCAGGAGAGTGGACAAGGGGGGGCCACTTACCAGAGACATTGGAACCTGCGCTGGCAGGAAGAGGGTTCCCAGGCCTTAGAAACGGCCCCCTCCCTCAAGAGCGAGGTGGCAGCTAAGCCAGAGTGTCCTTCCTCTCTGGAGGGTACTTCTGGTGGGGGAGCACAGCTGCTGGCTGTTTCGCCAGCCCAGAGGCTCGCCACGACTCAGTGAGTGACAGCTGGGTGCAGCCAGTGGGGGGCTGGCTGAGGGATGGGACCGGCCATCGGGCTAAAATGCAGCATGCAGCTGCCTGGAGGGGTACCACAGAATTTGGGGCAATTTGGTGCCTCAAATTTCGTAGTGCTCTAGGCAGCTGCATATTTTGTGTGCATAGGCCTGGGTCTGGATAGACCCCAGAACCTACTCTTCCAAAATTCAGATGTTCCCCCCACTGCCTGAGGTTTAAGAAAATGTGGAGCCTACCCACTCAATCCCTATAATTATCAAATAATTGACCATATACACTATTTCCAATGCTATTGTAACCCCTTTGGTATTTAGGGAGCATGGCCCTTTAAATCTTTTTCCTGGGAGGGGGATAAAACAGGCAATAGTGGGTCAAACTGAGTAATTTTTTAAGCAGAATCAATTGGAAAACCACAATGCAACTTGACTGGGAAGAAAAATGTTCTGTACACGAGTGCAATTTCGCTGACTCCTTGGGTTTTCTGCAGGTATTTGAAAGGGAACAGGAGGGAGGGAACTAGTGAAAATGGCAGGATTCATAAACCACCACTCACAGAAAGCTGCTCCTATTTCAGGAAGTAGATGTAAGCGGGGGAATGGTCCCGCTATTGTGGGGATCTTTCCTGGCTTCTATACCACCCCGGTGAAATGGACCAGCGAAAGGATCTGAGGCCCCGCTCCCACTTCCTTTACCCCACGGCCTCCCTGATCCTGAGGGCTCCCCCTCCACTCTCCTGAGTAGCAGAGCCCTCGAAACCCCAACAAGGCTGGGCCCAGGTTTCCTGGGGCTTAACCCCCGACCTTGTAGTCACTAGGGGCAGGAGTTAGGACACGAGGTGCTCTCTTTACATGGCATGCTTTCTTGGCCCAGTGATCATTTCATAAGGTTCAAAGCAAATACAATTTATTAAACATCAACTGATTAAAGAGAGAAGAATAAGAAAAAATGAGAATGGTTAAATGAGAACACACAGCCCTGCTCTGTAGCACAGGGACATCAAAACAACAGTCTGCAGAGTGTAAGGACAGTTCACAGTCTCTTCCTTAGAGGCCCCTTAGAGGCCCTGGATGTGCTGCAGGGGGGCTGCAGGCTGGACACACTTGCTCTGACAGTGACCACACACCCTAACCCTCTCCCAGTCTGGCCTGCTGGGCCTCTTGGCTGATGATATCTCCCTGCCCAGAGCCTCTCCCCTCACTTTGCTGGTCCCAGCTGCTCACCACACCCAGCTGCAGGCTGTGCTGCTTTGCCAGTCTCCAGCTCCTTGCATTGCTTCTCTGTCCCTTTTGGCTCTCTGAGCACTGCCAGTCTGCTGCTCAACACAGGGTCTGCGCTCCTTGGGCTGTGTGTGCCTGGCTCTGCTGCTGCAAAACTGCCCCTCAGCACAGCTTGCACTCCTTAGGCTGTGTGTGCCTGGCTCTGTTGCTGCAGGACTACCTCATCACACAGCTTGCTCCTCTCAGCTTTCTCTCCTTGCTCAGAGAGACCCAGAACAATCCCAGCTCACAGGGAGGACGGGGCCTGGCCTCTCACTTTCCTCACTGGCCTGTTCAACCTGTCAATCAGGCTGAGCTGGAGTGTTGGCTGCTTTCCATTGTCTCTGGGGTCTGTCAGTCTCATGGATCCTTCCCCTTTTGATACTGAGAGCTACCAAACCGAAAACTCCCACAGAGTTTTAGTAAGGGGCTAAC